CTTTGGAAGACCAAGAGCTCTGACTCTACAGGCATCTAGCCCTGACACTTTACTTATTACCAAAATGTCCCCATAAGCATTTCACATGTTTCAATCAACAAATGTGGTTAAACTGAACCTGATACGTACTGTGTGCTCAATTAATGTTTATTATATCATGAATAAAGGGCTGATTATAGGGTGCCCAAGGTACCAGTATCAGAATGGTGTACAGAAATGGGTGGCGGTGGGGGGAGGGGAGTGATACTACTCAGCCATCAAATGCTTGGCTGAGGCTCCTCACATTCTCTTCTCCCAATCTGTCCCCACCAGGTTTATTCTTAGAGTCAGATATGGCTGTAGGGGTGTGTGTGTGTGGCGGGGGGGATAGACCCAGGGGCTGCATGGCTCGGGCACAGACCAGGACAGGGGGTGGTCTTGGAAGAGCAGAGGAAGGGAGAGGAGGTTGAGCAGAACCATCATGCCATGATCCACCGCGACTAGGTTGGGAGAGGAGAGCCTCCCTGGGCCCGGGTTCCCCTTCCAGACCAGCTGCAAACAGGCTGTAAATGTCCACTGACATCAGAGGCCTGTGCCACGTGTCCTTCCAAAGTACTTGGAGTGCTTTCTTTCTGAGCCCAGGTCTGCTCTGTGAGCTCAGGTCAAATCTGCCCTCTCACAGCCACCTGAACCTCAGCTTCTTCTCTTCCCTTAATGTTGACCCATGACGGGGCTGAGGTTGGGCATCCTCAATGGCCAGCGGTGGAGGGAGGGAAAGGTACGTGGGCACTGGTTTGCCAGCTCCAGAGGGTGCCCGATGGTCTCATACATGGTATTAATCAGTGGGTTGGACTCCAATTTATGTATTTATCAAGTTTCGGTCAAATATAAATAAGAAATTCAAAACTGTAAAATGACACATAGCTATACAATAATTCAGCTACCCTATTGAATAGCTCCCAATAACAAGAGATGGATGTAGTTAGCATAATTATTGCTTTCAGTTTTGCATTGAGTAGCGTTTCCATGAGGGAGTGATTGATTAGCAGATGCTGATGCTGTGCATTTCCTCCCTTTGGGTAGCCAGCCGCACTACACACAGTGATGACAGCAGTCCACGTGACAAGGTTCAGAAGAGGCACTTGGTGAAGTTGGAGGCTTCAGACTCCAGGCTGTTTCTTTGAGGCCCAGAGTGATGGGTGAATGGGAGCCAAAGGAAGAACAGCTAATCCCTGGAGAATAACAGGAGTCTCACCTTCCTTAGGCCTAAAACCTCCAGATACGGGTTACTCCTAGCGTCTTTTGAAGAAGGAAGTTCATTTCCATTCATTGACTTACTTGGCATTATGTACTTCCCCTACCATGTCCTGGGGGACTCCAGAGAAGAATCACCCACATGCTCTGCTCTCGCAGAGCTTGCATAGTTTAAGACCTTATCTTATCTTGGATGCTACACTCAGTATCATTACCATCACAGCCTTACCCCCATCACCATGTGTTATGACCTGTAAAACTCTTCCAACTCATTAGATTATTTAATCTTGCAATGACCCTATAAAGGTAGAGACCATTATTCCCAGGGGAAATGGAGGCCCCACGAATAGGTGACCTTTGCAAACTCACTCAACAAGTCAGTGATGATGAAGGGACCCTGACACCAGTGTTTAATTCGGAGTCCAGAACTCCTCCCATAAACGCATACTACCTCCTGGGATGGGAGGGTGGGAGGGGGAGAACTCTGCTTTGCTAGCATTGATCTAGTGTGATATGAACAGGGTGGAACTCATCTGGCCTTGGGGGCCCATACAGAGAGCATGAGTCTTCATGAAGCCAGGGTTCAAATAGCCTCATCTGGATGGAAGAAAGCAACAAATGGACAAATCATCTTCCACATCTGTATGAGTGTCCTGAGTCATTTATCATTCATTCAACAAATATTAACTGAGGCCTTACTGTGTGCAACACACTGTCCTGCAGGACATCCTGGATGTGCAAGACATCCTGTCACAATCCCCTAACTGTTCCCCCTCCCTTCTCCTGCCCTC